CGCACGCCGAGGCGACGCAATGATTTTGACATAGTCGAAGTAGGAAGGGATTCCTTCGCCCAGATCTTTGCGGATTTCTTGCCGGAGTTGCCGCAGTGCGCGGAGTGCGGACCGCAAACCCAAGCGAAACAGATCAAGGCTGAGAGGGTCATTTTGTGAAACTCCGGCTTGACTGATGCGTCGACAGGTTGAGCCTTGATGCCACACGAACGAACAGGGGCGCCTCAGCCACAACTTTGCAAACGGTACTATAGGGCGGCTGCTTCGGGCAGGTGACGGAGTACGTGGAGGATCGCCTGGCGGCTGGTCCTATCACAGACAGCAGAGGCGTCCCGGGACACCACCGTCAGGGTAGGGTCGAGCGCACACTTGCTTTGCACATGTTTGCACATTGTGCACCAGAGCAACCAGGCGTGCATGGTTGCCAAGGGCGTATTGATGCGGGCGGCAAGCAGCTTCGAGCGGAACCGCAAACTGTTGTGCCAGTGTGCGTGCAATTGAGCGCCGAAATGAAGTCACTGACGACGAAACCACGGGTACCGCCACTGCGCCACTGGGCTTGCGGAGAGCAGCCAGGCGCCCAAGTTGATACAAACTCGCAAAGTCGATACAACGTCGCAGAGCTACGGAGCGTACATGCCCCGAGCTCCGCCACTCCGCCAGGTGCAAGCTCGTGGTCCTCGCTTTCGAGCTCGGCGGCTGCCGGAGCAATGGAGCCGCTTCTTTTGTGAGGCTCCGTTCCTGCCGCCATCCCGTGGCCGAGCATCAGAGCATCTCTGCCTTTGCGTTTCGGTGGCTCCTTTGCCGCCGCCTTCGCCGACTCCGCCCTCGAGCCACCCCTCGCCCGCCGCGTGCCTGGCCGGCCCTGGACTCGGGTCTGCACTGGGACCTTGTTTTGTCGGACGCCGCGTACAAAGGTGCCTGGCCAAAAATTTTAAAAAAGGCAAGAAGCACGGCCCGTGTCGGCTGGAAATATTGTGGCGGGAACTCTTGCGCAAGGACGCCCCAACCAACGGACATCATGGCGGGTTTGCGCAGAGCTACAAGTCGCCGACGCGCAGCGCCTGGATGGCTGGCTCCGGGATGTCCGCCTGCGAAAAGCACTCGGCCGTTGCATGTACTAGCTGCGTCGTTCTCTTGGTCATCAAGCAACCCGCGGAAGTGCTCGCTTGTCGCGCTGGAAGGCCTAGCTACAACCCCGCGATTAGCAGTTCTTCGCAACGCATTGACAAACACGGTGGAGGGGGTCGACTGGTTCATATGGCCGAGGCGGTCGGCGTTCCAGGTCCTGCAGCCAGTGCGGTTGCTCTGTCGGGTGCGAGCAGCTCAACAACCAATGCCGCCACAAGCTCTCCAACATGCGATGGAGCCGCGACGTATGAGTTCTTTATTGGAATGCAGCCTAAACGGGCAGAGCCCCTCGTTCTTTTGGCTCAAAAAAACCTCGCTACAACAGCGTGTAGCGGCGATGTCTCCTTCCTGCACCGGGACCGCGGAACTCTAGTCGTAAAGAAACCCTAAACCAAAAAAAGGATGTTTGCGATGCCCTGTGCCGGCTGGACTGTCATCGCGGTTTGCTGGCGGCGGGCTTCCCCGCTTGCCTTGTACATGTTTAACAACCAAAAAATTCTGCAACGGCGGATTTGTAGTCGCTGCCCATACGCGCTGTTGCCGCTTGCACCGGGCCATGCGGCCACCCCTCGCATGCTTTGCCCAAAATCGCATGGCGACACGTTTTGATTGGTGAATGGTGGTGTGTTGCTGACTCCGAGTCTGGTGTCCCCACGAACAGCCAGCCGCAACCGACCCTACCCACTCATAGAGTCGTCATTCAGTCACTGGACCGGAAGTTGTAACAGCCACTAGATCTCGCATTGCCCGCCCGTTTGATCCAACTCCCCAAGACCGTTGGCTGGAAGCACCACCCAGCATGCATTCGATGTTCCGCAGCCACACACGGTAAAGTGTGTCTTGGCCGGACGTCCGGGATGAATAGGTTCAATGTCGTCGAAGCAAGCCATGAGGGACTCACTTCATGCAGCGCGGAAATAGTTTGCCGCAGCCGTTTGTGCTGGCCACATGCAAAAAAAACTCGCAGCTGGTCGGCATGCATGCCGTGCCACGCGCCGTGGTTGGTATTCCGGTAGTCAGATGGTTGGTCGTGGAACGGATGCGTGAAGGGCAACAACACCGGCGCCGCTTCACGCTGCTTGCCGAGGAACGCGACGCGCGAGACGCAGTCGCACGCATTGCGCTCGTCCAACGAATTCAAACAGTGATCTCTCCCGAGTGCTCCTTCGCTGCCCGCATTTGGAACTTCTGCTGGCGTTCCGCTCTTGCACTTGCGGACGACGTTTCGGTCTATTGGGGGACCACAGTGCCGCATGCGCTCCGGGCTCTGGTGGCGCGGTCAATGTGCGTCTTCTGGCATGGCCTGGCGTGTCCAGGCAAAGCGCTATCACATCAAACCTGTTTGCGCAGTTGATGCCACTCTCGTCCGCGCTGTCGGACGCGACAAGGCAGTGTGTTGTATGAGCCAATGCCACGAAGCGCAGGAGTCAGACAAGCTTACCCGGAGCGTGTTCCTTTTTTGGGCATCGAAGCATGGGGATCGCTGGGGTTCAGCCGCTTGCTTGCGCCTGCACACGCAGCAAGGCCTGCCATCCGCCTAGCAGCTCAGGCCGCTGGGCACGTGCGTTGGAGCTTTGCCGCTGCAAGGTGCTGAGACCGCGCTGGGCGACTGGAGACAAGGACATGCAGTGCACGTCTGGCACGGTCCAGTGTAACAGCGATGATAAAATAGTGTTTTTGTTGCACATTTTCTCCCCGGCAGCACAAGGTTTTGCAGACACCCCAATGCTTGCGAGACGATTTACGCACATGGCAGCCGCAACGTTGCACCATGGTTCTGGACATCAAGGAATCACCAGACAACCACGAACCCTCACGGCACGGATCCGAAGCCCGTTTCGCAATTAACTACGGAGAACTGTGGCGCTTTGCTGTCTAATCTGTTCAGTTCGTGCCTTCGTTTGGGCCGGTTCCACCACCGACAAATTGGCCCGTGTCGAAATAAGAGCAGATAAGAATCATGTAGCTGGAATCTCGGAGCAACCTAAGAAGACCAGGAATAACAACAACAACATCCTGAGCACCAACAGACACCCCAAGGCCGGTTCAGGAAGCAAAAACGAATGTGGCACCAACAACTAGACTAGACCCCTCGAGCTCTGTCAGGAAATCCACACCTCAGGGCATGCTGGGTGGCGAGCCGCATCTAAGCTCGAAAACAGTCCACCCAAAGACAAGCCACGCCACTGACAACTTGACACAACATGTAAACCTGGCATGCACCTTGGGGCGGTGTCGGCACCGACGTATGTGAACCTGCACACTTTGCGGGGCCATGAAGGCCACATCTTGCCCCTCACGTAGAAGTGTCTCAGCAGTACAAACTGGTTTCTCTACATTCCATCTCTCTTGCAGGGCTATCTTTACGGCATTCTTCATGAGCTTCGCTCCCAAGCAGATGCTAATCTTCAATGTCAATCTCACGCCCTTGCATGGTTATCTGCATGGGAAGCCGAACACAGACGCTGCGGGAGGACCTTGAGCTGCACAGCAGATGCTACCCCTCCGGAGAAACGCCATCATGGCGCCATTGCTGAAGTCCAGCTTCGCTACAGCACATGCTCTAGTGGGGTCACAGCCCTTTTGCTGACATAGACAAGTCATGAATGGATAAGGCGATCTGATCTGGGCATGCACCATCGCGGTCATGCAAATACTCCACATCATGTCGCTGTTGGTTGTTTGTCAATTCTACCGCCCAACCCGCATCAATGTGCACTCGAGTGCGTGCTTGAGCAATTGTCAAGATCGAAGCCTTCAGCGCAACAAGCATCCACCCCTTTGCTGAGAATGTGCTCCGTAAAGCACAGCAAGCCCGTAGTCAAACTCGCAATTGATTCTGTGCTTGTTGTGTGGTAAGACGTATATGCAGAGGTTCTCAGTTGCAGGAACTGGGCGACAAGACGCAGAGATGTTTCTGTGCAGTCGCGCAAGAAGGCACTAACCTGCTGACCTGCCTACCTGCCCGGTCGAAAATCTAAGCGCGACAATCGCATCTCGGCGACACATTGCCCAGGGCCTTGCTGTGGGCCCCATGTAGCCAGCGCAGGACAGGTACCACATGAGACCAGGCCTGATACCAGTAGCTCTGGCGGTTACTTTACGTATTCGACGAAATCCTGTTTCGGCATAATCTTCGACTCTTCGATCGCGGCGGCTGTGGCCTTGGCCCTCCGGAGCCGGGTGCCGCTCAACAACTTCCCAAGCAAAGCGGCGCACGGTGTCTTGCAGCGAATCGATTTGAGTTTGGGTCTGGGGCGCCTGGGCTGGTGGATTTTCCATGTTCTTAGCCCGCCACGTGAGCCGAACACTTCGTAAGCGGCAACTTGAATGCCAAAGAGATGCACTGCAACAGCTTGCGTGGTGCTGCTGACAATCGCCGCTTGCTGCTCGTTGTGATAGCTATGAAGGCTACTGATGATTGTGACTCCCTGAGGATTGCCCTGACTTGTATGAGAGCCAGCCACCGGTAGCTTGACAGCCGCATCGCCTAGTAAATGTATGCCTTTCATTTTCGGATGCAGTTAACAGTTTCGGGAGCCGGCGTTGCCATGGAGCTGCTTGTTCACTTCCTTATACAAAGGCTGTCTGTTTGCAAGTGCGCGTAGAATAGTTGATCTCGGTGAAAACCTCGCCGCAGCACAGACTTTCTAGATGAGCAAAACCAGTTGCTAGTTGAGCGAAAGCCTTGCTGAAAATTCGGTGTGCGCGGCTGACGATCCCATGCCACTCCGACTCCTACATGTCAATGCTCTGAAGTGCCCTTTTCTGCTCCCGCTCGCCTCTGTGGCGAAGCTCCCGCACAGCTGGGGCAAAACCTACACGGAATCCCGGGTGCCCTACAGGCAGCCACTGGGTTGCCCTTGCCGTTAACGGATGCTTACAGCAGTGCTGGCATATGTAGAACAATGCTGGCAGTCAGTGCATGCCACAAAAGCTCCACCAGAACCGACGCTGCGAAGGTCGAGGTAGTGATTCTCGATGTCCTCTCGGTGCGTGCTGTTGCGTGGCTAGGGTCGGTCATAGTCAGATTGGTCCCTAGCTTACTGAGCTCAGCTCTCTCGGTCGACGTCCTCATAGCCACCGTCGAGAGTGTAGAGGACTCTGAGGCCGGTGGTATCGACAGAACAGGTCTTAGCTTTGGTAGCATCGTCCTGAGACCAAGCTCGACTCCAGATTGCAAATCGGCTCACCTGGCGATGGGAAAGTCAGATCTTTCAAAGCCAAGCTTCCCAGTCCCAAAGGCTAGTCCGAAAGGCTCGCAGGTCTAGAGGGAAAGCTTTCGCCAGCTTTGCTTCACCAGCTCACTTCCACCCCCTTTGGACATCGAACCTCACCCTGAGCCCACCTGATTGAGAAAGTTTCGCGACAGGTGCCCGCCCCCGACAGTTAGTGTCCCATCCATCCCAGGGTTCTGAGTACCAACGGGGTACGAGCAGGAGTTGATCTTGACGCCGTCTATGAAATAGTAAGCTTGCTGCGTGCTCTTGGAGAGGACAAAGACGACATGGTGCCACTTGTGGTCGAACAAGTTAGGGCCAGACACCGAGCTGCCGGACTCGCCCTGCAAGGCAGCACCAATGAAATGACGCCCATCCGGCCTCACGAAAAGGCCCACCGAACGCCGGCGATTGGAAGTGCTGTAGGTGTTATCATTGAACTCGTAAGTACCCATAATGTTCGTCTGCCATGGTGGTGTCTCGTGAAACTTCATCACCACTTCCCATGTCATGTCGCCTGCAATGAGTTCGTTCCACAAGTTCGTGACCTGACCGGGGGCATTCGAGGAGCTCTCAACAAGGAGGTGCTCACGGTCATCGGATCATGCTCTCATCTCCCCTCTTCAGACACTTCCCTATGTCTGCCCAACGCTGCCCATGTCTCAGGTGTCGCATCGATCTGGCAGTCGCGATGCTTATTAGCGAGAGCCGGAAGTGCACCAAGGTACTAAACACAACTCGACCTCCGAAGCGCAGACTCCACAGAACGGCCCCAACGAAAGCACAAGGAATAGCCTTTCAACACACGCGCGCCCTTCGCCTCTTCCGCCTCTTCCCGCTTCCGCTATCGGCACGTAAGCCCTTTCTAACAGGGCTGGCCTGGCCATGCTGGCGTGTGCTGAAAGCGAGGTAATTTCTGTTGTCGCTCCGAAAGTTCTTGGAAGGCTTGTCTTCCTGGTGGCAGCAGAGCAGCCGTGTAATGCGGTGAAGACTGACGTGTCATGTCATGTCATGTCTGAGCCCCAGACGCCGACCACGGCTGTGGAGCCCGCGTTTGCGGTGGAGACGTCGCTCTTCGAGAAGTCCTGAAGGGCCTTCAGCGCCTTGAGGCGCGTGTCCACGGAGACAAAGGGCATGGCAGACAAGACGAGGCGGTAATGATCGATGATGTTGACTAAAGTGATCCGCTTCTCTGGAGAGGTGAAGGGCCCAAAACTGACCTGCATCAGGGTCAGCTGCCTGCTGGGGTCTGTGGAGGCCTGTAGGGGCCCTGGATCCACCGTTCTGAGGCCTTGAGTGCAATCTGCAGGTTGTTGTTGGACAGGATCCCCCGGATGCTGAAGGAGACCAGGCCGGGGTTGCTGAAGCTGAAGAGCTGGAAGTCGCTCTGGAGCTCCTGACACGAACCTCATGAAAATCACGCCTTGCTAAGCCTTACTCAGCCCTTAAAAAAAGCTACGAGAGAAGCCCCAGCCCCGAGCTCTGAGCTCCGGCCTCCTGCATGAGCCGGAGCTGGTCTCGGGCATCCTTTCCCCGCAGCTCTTTCGTGAAGCTCTTGTTCATGTACCGATCGTAGAGCATGGAGGCCAGCGAAACCTCCACACAAGGATGAGCTTCGGGGCTTCCTGCGGCTTCCTGGGTTCCAGGGCTTAGTTTACACCCTGTTCTCTCAGATTCTGTCGCGTGGGCGCTGCGCGCCTCCTCTTCGCTCCAGTGCAGATCCTGCTTCGAAGGCTTTCTGCTCCGCGTCCGAGCCGTCCGCGTCGTGTCGTTCTGAAGCAGCGAGGCCTCCCTGTCCATGGCTTCGAGGGAGCGGTCATCTTCGACCCCGTGGGTGCCGGTGGCAATGCCAATCGGGTTTCGCCATGTCTCGTGTGCAGGAAAGATGTTGCCCTGCTCGAAATCCGTGTTGCTGCCAAAGCGCTTGGTTAGGCGGAGGGTGCGACTGAAGAGCTGGACACCGCCGGACAGAATCACCGTGCGAAGGACGCTGAGGTCGACGCCACCCGGCTGCTTGTCTGGCCAACATACTGTGGTCTCCATCTCTGTCAGTGGCGACGGGAGTAAGTCGAACTCCAAGCCCCCAACGAAGGCCAGCACCTAGTGACAGCAACTGGCTGCCCCGCCACGACAGCGACTCAAATGCATCCGGGCAACAGGCTGAGTGGACATGCTGTAGCTCACGGTCACGCACTTCTCGATAGCAGATTCCCATGTGTAGAAGGAATAGCCCTCCCACTTGTCAGGATTTTCCTGCATCCAGGAATTGTCACATGGAACCTCGGGGTGCGGAGACCAGCTTAGAATCTAAACTTCCTGAGAGCATGTGTCTTGTTACAAGCGGCTGCCCAGGGCTCCAGTTGGATGAAATCCTGTCCAGGGCCAACTTGCCAATCACGCTTCGTCACCTGTAGGGAGCTGCTCTGATGCTTGCAGGTCAAACATGGAAGTGCCCTGGGCCCTAGATTCTCTGATCCTTGCGAGGCAACCTCGCTGCGGTTTGTATTTTTCTCGTCGGTTTAACGCCTTGTTGTTGGTACCCCGACGAGTCTTCGGCGCGAAAGCTAAGCAGCTGCTGGTGTCGGTCTCCTTGCCAGCAAACTGCGTTATGAGCTTCGTCGCGTAGTTGGCCTCGTTGTCGTGGATCTCGAAGGTGATGCCACCATCAGAGTCGTCGTCATCGTCGTCGCCCCCCTTTGCTCGCTGACGCTTCGCATCCACCTCTACGGCGCCCATTGTGCCCGAGCCCGCATTGCGCTGAGCCGGCTGGGAACTCTGGGAACCGGGGCGGCGTTGCGCATGAGTCTTGACAACGAGATTCCTCCCCGAATGGTGCACCAAGGGCGGAGCTCCGACGGCTGGGAAGCTTGAGTTCACGGCAGTCTGGATTAGTGAGCTGCTGTCCTTCATGAAAAGCTGCTTCAATCATGCAATCAAGTGACGCAAGTCAGAAATCAGTCAATGCCCGGTTCCTTCAAGATGGTGTTGATGACAGCTGTGGCAATGTGCGCAAATACCTCAATGAACTCCTGGCGACCGCTCCGCATCTGACTACCAGCTACCACAACACTATCTTTAGACTTGACCCGAATATAGTTCCTGAAATAGTAGGATCCACATAAATCCTTATTGTAAGGACCCCCAAATAAGGGACCCAAAATTTTTGCCCCGGGGATGCGAGTCGGTTCTGGGAGAAAGTCGCATCTCGGTCTGCAGTTAATCGTACAGTTACACAGATCCAATCAACCTCAATCGACCATCACAGAGGCCAGGCACCTGAATCATGTCACCGATGCGATTCAGGAAGTTCAGTGGCGGAACCTCTGGCAGTCTTTGGGTCTTTTTGGGTGTCTGTGTCGTAGAAGTACCCCTTTGAGTCGAGGAGCGACTTCCAGCAACTTGTTGCCGAAGCACTTAAAGACATCTGTGACGGATCCCTCTGTTGCGCAGCTGACGACCTCGCGGCCGATGTTGACCACGGCCTCCAGGGCTTTCGAGATAGACCCAAAACGCCCGCCCCCTCTCCGTGACCGGGCCTTAATGGGCTCCAGGCCATAGCGTGTGACCGTCTTGATAGGCTCTGGCCAGTTGAGGCTCGTGTCCCCGAAGTCGAAGTCGAGGAGTGTGATGCTCTGGCCCATGAGCCTGACGCAAATCGCCGGTTGCGCGAGACATGCCCATGTGGCCGTGCAATGCCGTGGGCCTAATGTAGCAGTACTGCTTCCCCCAGTCAACGTAGAGCCCGTTGGAGTTCACGGTCATGTCGGGCCACTGCATGTCAGGGCACGAAGCATCCCAGTCCGTAAAGCCACCTTGGCTGGGGTGACTTGAGTGTGCGGGCGAGCCTTGAACCCGCAAAAAAAGGCAAAGTGTCCCCTTGCACAGGTGCGATGCAACTTCGTCAATCAAACGTTCCAAGCGCTGAGAAGACACGAAGAAGGATGGTCACGGCCATCTCCTTGCAGGGAAGTTCAACTCCTAACTCGCACCTTTCCCAGGAAGAGAGCCCACACTCAAAGGCTGAAGCACTTTGCAACCCCCTCCACAGTGTCGATGACAGTGTTTGCAACGAAGGAAATCTGGTCTGCAGCGTGCTCGTAAGCATCACCCAGGGCATCCCCAATCATGCCAGTTCCATCCTGGCGACAAGTCTTAGAGTGCAGGCCGTGCAGGCAGCTTCAAGCAGTGGGCTCATTCCGCAAGCACAGGTCCACAACCCGGGGTCCGTAATGGTCCCAAGCGCAGCACCGCCAACGTCACTCACGGTGTCCACAAAATCGTCTACGAACTTGGCAGACACGGCCGTGTCCAGGGAAGTCTGGTTGCCTGTCCGGTAGACAAGGTGGTCTCTCCCTGTGTCCCTTTTGCTTGCTCATGAGTCTCTCTCTCTTGGCTTTGCTCGGGGAAAGAGCCGGGAGCAGTCCTCTCTCTCTTCTTCCGCTGGGCTTGAAGGGCGTGCTAGGCCCTTCGGCCACATGGGCCCCCCATATGTTATGGGGCTTTGTGGAAGGGTTCTCTCTCTTCTTCAGCACAGTCAGAGGGGCGACGCGTTCGATCCACGCTGCCCTTCGCGCGATATCGCGCACTGGGGTGTGTACAGGAACAAAAGAGAGGCCGAGACAACCTCTCTCTCTCTCTCTCTCTCTCAGCTCTCTGTCAGCTCTCTCTCACCAGATACACATATCAAAATATGCTTTGCGATCGGGAAATATGCCAGACAGACGGAGAAAGAAAGAACACATGGAGAGGGAGCGAGAGAGAGAGCTTAGTGCCAAGGGCAGGAGTATCTGAGTAGTTGGACATTGTGGGCGCATGTCCGGGATTGTAGGCTCTCTGTACCGGACATCTTGTGTCTGTAGTCCGGGAGCGGGGATGCAGTGGAGAATTTTCAATTGTGCTCTACGGACTCGAATGAAGTCGACACGAGCCTACAAAGCGCGGCTTCGTAGTCGTCATGCAAGTAACACTACACAATGGGGATTTAGGGCTCCAAATACGAATCATGTTTGGAGCTTCTGTGCGAATGCCGATGCTTACAAGTCATTTGAGGGCGCGGGGACCCAAACAGTTGTGATGTGTGGGAATTCATATCTTATACAAATTCGGAAACATGTCAGACATGCCTTCAGCAGGCAGCAGATCCAGACAGTTCCAGAATTACCATAGATGTGCGTCAACATTGGCTCTATCCAGGTCTATAGGGATCTGAACACTACTTGGGATTTGGATCATTTTGCGCGGCAAGCGACAACCATAGGACTTGTAGTCTGAAACGAAGTGTGCATTCGAACACAGATCGTACCAGGGCTGGAAAACAGGTTTGCTTGAATGTAACACAGAGTATACTGTGCGAGCTCAAGCAGTTTGTGCTTACGGCTGCTTTTGGCACAATTTGGACTTGGACTAGGAGCTGTGGTGCGTGACATGGCTCCGACGGACTTTCAGGCAGAAGGTTTGTCTGGGATGAATCGTCTGGTATGCACACGTCATGAGCATCATCCTTCTGTCTGGGCCCTTCCAACCCGCTGAGAAAAAGATCACAAAGCCAGCGCCCCGCGCCCGGGCGGAAGCATCATGAGCACCATTCGAGCGATACCTTCCCCATCCTGCCTGTCTGGACCCCTCAACTGCAGTAGAATTCCTGCCGCTGAGATCACAAAGCCCGCACCCTCAGGCCCGCCCGGGCGGATGCATCATGAGCATCATCCGCGTGATACTTTCCCCATCCTATCTGTCTGGCATGGCATGCTACACACGCATGCACACATAAGCAAGTTGGCAAGGCAGAAGGGGCGAATCGCACGGGTCTGGCGAGCCTCGAGCATGCGCTGATGACCTCTGCATCATGGCCTCATGGCCCTTGGCCGCCTTGGCCCTTGGCGTCGAAGGTTTCGGCGAGGAAGGCGTGGCTTTGCCTGAGAAGATCCCCAACATCACCCCCCCTCCCGTCTCACAAACACTTGTTAACATACCAAGTGCTTTTTCAGCCGGCAGCCGGCCTGAGAATGGCGTCACAAACTCTCGCTTCTGCCTTTGGTGCAGGTGCTTCTGCACCACCTTCTTGAAAACAGATGTTGCCACTTCCACGCGATGCTCTTGCGCTTCCTGGGCAAAGCTCGGCGTCGGCCCGGGAGCTGTGCCGGCCTGCGCCTTGAGACTTTGGATCTCCTTGTCCTGAAAGCGCGAGGCTCTCACGAGAAGTGGCTCCCTAAGAGGCTCTGGTCGGGTCCTGCTCGTCGACCTTCTGGAGGAGCTTGTGGATCTCGACTTGTTGCAGCTCCGCGACGGTCTCCAGCTGCGCCAACTTCAGCGTGATGAACTCCAAGTTGACCGCCAGCTCTCCGAAACCGTGTCGAGGCCTAGTAGAGCCACGAGGAGCTTTGGTGCCATTTGTGCCGTTGGTCGTATTTGTCGTCGTGCTCTTTGTGCCGTTTCCGGTGATGTTGTTTGCATTGATTTCATCGCTGCTGTTCTCCAACTTCGGCAATGCGTTGATCTCGTTCATGTTGTCCACGACGTTGTTCTTGACCAGCCCTTCCAGCGTCACATTCGCAGACGCATTGCTCGCATTCGTAGAGTTCACCGGCTTCGCATCTTCGAGGACGGCAAGGCCGGCGACCGAATGAGTCTCTGCTTTCACGGCTAGAAGGGATGGAGATTGTCCGGAAGGTGGAGCGTTCGATGCACAGCTGGCGTCATCGGTGGCTGTTGAAAACACCAGCCCCGACACCAGCCAAACGGTAAGCCCTAGAAGGGCGGAAGATCGAGGCATCATCAGGAACTGAAGACAGGGAATGACACTCCTATCTCGAGCCCCGCAGCTCAACCCGAAAGACCTCAGCTTCTTCAACTGGCGCCAGCATAACACAGCAAGACTGAAGACAATGCATTCGATTTTCCTGGCGCCGTGGTTTCGCTAAGCAGAGGGGCTGCCCCATAAGGCCCCACCCGGCACTCGACTTGCCATTCGGCAGTCTCCAAGCGGGTGCCCCGGCGCGATCAAAGCAGAAATCCTCTGCAAACTTCCCTCCTTGTCCGCTGTGAATAGCCATGATGCAGGATGCTCCGCATTTTGCGAGCAGGAAGACTGCGAGGCTTCATCGCGCGTTTGGCGCTTGCTCTGAGCGGTATGCTGCAAGCGACGTTCTGACATCTAAAGTCTAAAACAACGCGAGAGCAAAGTGCTGCTTGTATAGATCCGATTGGGCTTTTCATTCTTCGGCTTCCAGCGCCCGGTTTCTTGAGAAGAATTTCTTGTGACAGCCCTGCCACGGGCTCTCACCGACTACGTGACAAATCCCATCGTGAACTTCACTTGCTTCAGCGTCTCATCTCGCCCGGCCTGGCCAGAAAAACCGAGCAATCTCGCCAGTACTGTCTTGCGATTGAAAACGCAAACTCCCGAACCCGCCCCAAAACCCCCCTGAAACCCTAAAAGCTCCCCACCTAAAACCTAAACCCAAAATGCCTGTGCTGAAGAGAAGAGCTCGTTCTTGGCGATCAGCGCGGATGCGAAGCATCGCCTTCCATGGAGACGTCTGAGTACTGACGATGCAGACCTCTCAAGTTCTATAGGTCTACTACAGTATAGTAGTTTTGGGAGGCGGACACAGACGCGGGATTGCGGTGCACGATTTCGAACTTTGCCAAGCTTCGACACTCCTGAGAATACTTAGACCGGCGGGTCTCAAGACCACACGAACAAGAAAGCCCCCGGTAGGAGGCGAAAGTGTGGCCTTACTAGGACTTCAAACGCTTTGAAGCGCCGGAGTGCGGCAGGAGCACGATTTCTACCCAACAAAACCCCAGAATACACACGAAGCTGTGGCAGGACCCCGACTTGAAAGTCGTGCTTACGCCGTTTGGGGAAGGTCAACGAGATGGAATGCGATCAAAGTGGACATGCCGAAAAGCAGAGCCAAACTCAGAGCCAGACTTGAATACATCATGCGCACATCAAGCTAGCAGCAACGGTCAGCCCAATGAACAGGAAATCATGCGCTACAAACGACGACTTTAACGCATGAAGTGAGCCAGATGGAACGCAAAATGCAACGCCCCAGAACGTGTCCGGCCTCCGCATGTGATCTCTGACCAACTCACCGACCTTGGCATCTAAGCAGATCTCGGGCCTTCGAAAGCCGAGCCAGAATCCGAGCATCCTTCATATATTATCTATATATTATGCGATACTATACTATACTATATATTATAATATATATATATATATAAATACTAAAATATTGTGGGTGCCTCTCCTGCTCTTCGCATCACTGCTGTACTCATCTGTAATCATGCTGGCCTGCTGCTCTGTAGCGGTAACTCTTGGTCGTAAGAAACCAAGCACCGAAAAGTAGAGAAAGATCCGGACCTTGCTAAACAAAAACACTTCAACAGCAGGAAGAATCATACCAGCTGTAGCGGTAGAAGCATAGTAGTCTATGGTCGTCGTCGTCGCCGTCGTCGTCGTCACTGCAATGGAGGAAGTCGCCAGTACGCGGTAGCCGGAGTGGGCAGAGTTACTCCCTCAGTGCTGTCTGCTACTGTTCCTGATGTTTTCGGGTGGTAAAAATCGTCGTCTCCTCTGCAGTCCCTGAACTGGCAGGGCGCACTTTGGGGAGGCGATGGCGCCAGGTAAAGTTTGCATCGAGGTAGTCGAACATGGTCTCAAGGATCTCTTTCAACCTGCACAAGATGCACACACCAGGTTTTGCTATGCCGGTGCCATGATGTACGAACAACATGCATCGTGATCTGGATGTGTCACAAGAAGGCAGCCAACAGAACTCGCCCAACCTCTTGTATCTTGTCCAGACTTGCTCGAGGTGCATCACCAGGAAGCGCTGGCACAAGGAAATGGCTCAACTAGCTTTGGTCCAATATTGATTTGAAAGATTATTGTTGTTTTCTGATTTGTTGTTTTTCTCGTTCCCGCGTGCTACTTGCGCCAGTGATTGGGTAATTCAACTTGCAGGCTTTTGTTTTCGTCAGGCTGTGGGAGTTTGCAATTTGTGTATTCATGTCTTGGGTCAAGATATTCGGGAGTTCAATTTGTTGGGTCGTGTCCTGCATCCAGCTGTTGGGGATTTCTAACTTGCAAGATCTTGTTCTGCTTCAAGCTATTTGGGAATTCCTATTTGCAAGATCTTGCTTTGGTTTGTGCTGAGAATTTTCAATTCGCCACTGCACTGCAGGACATCAAGGCGAGCCTAGCAACACTGCAGGAGAAAGTGCCTACCCATTGCTCACGATGAAGCGAGGAACTTCAGAACTCTGCGGTTGCAGATCCACACTAGTCACTAGTGCGACGGCTCAGCTGCTTAGATTTTTCCTCTGGCTCGGTCTCCCACGGTTTCCTCACCAGTTGGGGAGGTGCCTGGGGGACTGGCAGAAGATGTTGGCGGCTCCAGGAGAGTGGCTTGGCGAGGAGTGATGGTATCGCTTGCACCGTTTTCGTGCCAACAGCCAGGCCTGCACGAGCTTTTCCAGTATAAATCCCAAGGATGGGAGAGGATCCCGTGGCAGAAGGAAAGCTCAGAAGCCGGAATGCCAAGCAAGAAAGCCAGAAAGACCAGAAGCCACAAAGCCAAAATCAAGAAAGACAAACGAAACAACAAACGGTCCCATTACAGTAGCTTTCATCCAAGCCCTCTCCTTCCGGGCCTCTTGGTGGGCCCGCGAATCTTGGAAGATATCGTTCAGAAACCTCAGCACATTGCTAGCTGAAAGCGGCACTAGCAGGCGTTTGCTCCCAAACGTCCCCGCCTCTCCCATTCGAAGAAGATCAAGGAGTTGCTTATGAAGTGGGTGAGGACCTGCGAGCAATCTCATCACAAAACTGCCTCCGCACCCCAAGAAATTGCCCGATATCGCTGGCACTGGCACGATTGTCCATTGCAGGAAGCCCCAGAGTGATCTTCTACAGGTTTTTTCGAGGAAGCAACCACACGTTCCCATCTCCTGTACTAATCTTCCTTGGTTTCCATCCTTTGCTAACTTATGTTTCATCAAGAAAGAACAGGAAGTAGATGGATAGCCTGTCTTTCGAAACCGTCCCAAATGGTGCTATGGTGAATTGAACAGGGCTCTCCTTCAAGACACCAGTCTGTGATGGAATTGGGTACGTTCATTCTTTACGCTCTCTCAATCAACTAACTTCAGTCTTTCGCATCATTCGCTTCGGGTCCCAATTTCTTTAGATCTCTACCTTGAAAGGAACACCCTGCATAACTATACTTTCATTCCTGTCATTTAAACATACCAATTTTATGTGGATTAGTTGTTGCCGTCACCTTTTTTCTATTTCATAAGGGATCTCTTCTGCTGGAAATGGTACAGAGAGCACGAGGGGCAGGATGCCTGGTACATCTCGCCCATTTTTCCTTCACGGCACTGGCATCTCACGAAGGTCTTGCACCTGGCAGTCCAAGAGAGAAATGCGAAGAATGCGTTTGAGACAAGCACCCACCATCACCAGCAGCACCAGCCACCTCTGCGCCTCGCCACGTTCAATGATCATCCAGTTGCTCATCATGGTCATAACAACCCATCAGCAAGATGATAATCATCCTCATCTTCTTCTTGATAGATGTTTCATTCTTAGTATCCTCATTCTTACCAGTGTTACTGATGCTTCTGTGCTATACTGCTACGACGACGACTACAACCACGACACGACGACTGCTATTATCCTTATGATTAGTGTTGCTATTCTTACTCTTATGATCACCATTATTGTTTGTATTCTCAATGAGAGCAGGAGTACTTGTAGTCGTCGTCGTTGTCGTTGTCGTAGTCGTAGCAGCAGCAGCAGCAGCAGTAGTAGTAGCTGGAGCAGGAGCAGGAGCAGGAGCAGGAGCACGAGTAGGAGTAGTCGCGGTAGCAGTAGCAGCAGCAGCAGTTGCAGTAGCAGTAGCAGTAGCAGTAGGAGCAGTGGTAGTAGTTGTAGTAGTAGGAGAAGTAGTAGTAGTAGTAGTAGTAGTAGTAGTAGTAGTAGTAGTAGTAGTAGTAGTAGTAGTAGTAGTAGTAATAGTGGTAGTAGTAGTAGTAGTAGTAGTAGTAGTAGTAGTAGCTGCTACCTGTATTTCTATGATTACAATCCTTAACAGTATACAACTGAGGTCTCGAAAATCATCACCATCGTCATCCTGGTCGCCATCGGCATCACCTTGTCATTGTTACCACACTACCTTCATAACAGAGCCATACTCCAAGCTGAGCTTAAACTGCTTTCCGGCTCTTCCCCCCTTCGTCGGTGACGAGCCGGCAGCACGCGTCCAAGAGGCTGGGGTGCAAGGCTTCGTCTTCCTCGCGGCGACGGGGCTGAGTTCCGAGTTGTTTCCGGGTCCATAAGTGCAGAGCTTGCGTTTCACATCGTCGACCGACCTCGTTCGATGTCGAGAGTACTCTCTCTCTTCAGAGTCAACATCGCTTTGCAAGTATCTGAAACAGTCCGTTCTAAGAACCCTGAGCCCTACGTTCGCGTAGCCCAACGCAGCACATTTTCCCCCCGGAGACGCTGCAAACGGTGCCTACCCAACCTCTGCCCTTTCCCGAGCATCCTGATCCATCTGAATGTTCCTCTGGATCTCCAGCAGGCACCTCAGCTGGATGCCATGGTTCACTCTTTGCTGTGGGTCGCAGGCAATGCTGCAAACGCCTTGGGAGCGGCACAGAATAAAGTAGCAGATGCTCTTGCCCTGCCTGGCCATGCGATCTTGAACGAACCGTCTTGCGTTGCAGCCGTACAATCGTGCACTGCAATGACTCTGTCAAAAGATGATGCACCGACACGATCTGACTTGGAAAAAATAATCTGCCATCCCATGACTACCAGAATGATCTAGAATCTAGCGGTAAACGCGGCTATCGCAGCCTCATAACGATCAAGTCGAGGAGTCACAGAAGTGTAGACCAGCGCAGCAAAATAGCACCAGCATCTTTGTCGTCGCAAGCAAGAGCAAAACAAACGTGCAGACCACGTAGGCAGGCACATGTGCATGTCTCCAACTGCAGGCTCACCCTCGATCTACTTCGGGCTAAGTACGTGGCC